GAAGTAAGACTTTATCCCATACTTTACGATACGTTAAGCAAAGCGTGATTTTTATGGCATCTCTTTATAATGAGAAACTATGTCTGCAGTAATGCTTAAGGCATTGACTGGTGTTTGCAGTGCTTGTTCACCGAGGAGGAAGTTCTTAAAGTGGAACCAATAATAATAATACAAAATACACTTTGAAGTGAATATGAATTTTCACTCAAAGCGATACAAATGAAGGAAAAGTGAACCTAAGAGTGAAAAATTGGGAAAACGATCACTTGTTTGGACTTTGAATTGAAGTCACGAAATAACCCACTTTTGATAAAATGAAATATAATTTTATTTTCTCAACGTTTTAATCGCTTAAATAAAAGTGTTTTTAAAAATAAAACACTAATAAAAAGTTGCGTTCAATTAATTGTGGATGCAATGAAAGGAAAAGGCATTGATTTTGAATGAATGGCAAATTGTTGGTAGAGTTGAGCTAAATATGCATTCATTGCGATTAGAATATGATATAATATTACAGTATTAGAGATTGCATTAGCGAAGTGCAGGCTTTGTATTAGCATTAGTGTAGTATAACACCAGTGACTGTCTATTTCTATCTGATTCCTGTCGACTAATTCCCATTTTCCATGAGTTAGTGCACCGACTGTTGTATGAAGCAGTGGATCAGCTATGGCTATGGCTATGGCTGTGTGTGTAGTGTAATTCCAGTGCAATGCGATGCCAGTGCTGCTGATGCTGTGCTGCATAGCTGTATAACTCAATATTGTCTCCATGGATACGGTTTCACTGAAATCTATTACTATTGCTTTTACTGTAGATTTGGTTTTCTGTTCGCATCTTAAGCCACAACTCAAACGAAATGTACAAAACTGATGGAAAGGCCACATCTGAGCGCCAAACCACCAGCACTGCACAGCAGGGAGGGGGGCCGGGGGGTAAAGCGCCACCATATAAGAGAGCCAGACTTTCCGATGTAAACGCGGAGCTGACGTGCATACTATGCTCGGGGTATTTCATCGACGCGACCACTATCAGTGAATGTCTGCACTCATTCTGCAAGTCATGTATTGTCAAGTACTTGCAAACTAACAAATGCTGTCCCATTTGCGAGACACAAGTGCACACCACTAAACCCCTACTCAGTATCAGATCCGATAAGATATTGCAAGACATCGTCTATAAACTCATACCCGATGTCTTCAAAAGCGAAATGCATAGACGGCGTGACTTTTACGCCAAACATACCGAAGAGGCGCCCGTTTCGGCTGAGGACAGGGGCGAAGTGGTCGACCACCGCATGTTTTACATGGCAAACGACAAAATCAGTTTATCTCTCGAGTATGGATACGGAGACAACCAAATGCCAGACAATGGACTCCTCCCCACCAGTGTTGACACAACTGATAGTAGCGTTGAATCCGCGGAATCTATGAAACGCTATTTGTTATGTCCGGCCGGTCTGTCCATTTTGCACCTCAAGAAGTTCATTGTCAGGAAATATGGATTACCCACGACCTATAGGGTCGATGTCA